AACGACAATCACCCATGCCCAGCCCTGATCTGTCATATCATTTGTCATTCTATTAATCGTATCAGTCACTATTCTGCAAGTATATCATAAGAGCGTAAATTCCTAGAGATTTTCAATTGTAGCCCGTGTTCGTATCATCGACAAACTGCAAATCTAACTGCTAGACAACGAACACACAATAACAAATTTAATTGGACAGGTGATAAGATACGCGCTGCGGATAAAGCCCCTCTCATTTCGATTCAGTTGCTATGTATATGCATATTATGCAATTTATGTACACGTATAAATTGTAATTATAATATAATATAATTTATGTATACGTATAAATTGTTTTTTCTTATTAAAAATAGTTGCATTTTTTATTACATATTCATATATTTATGTCTTTTATCGTAACCGTGTGATCTATCGACTTCTTCAATTAATTAATAAAACAGTGATATTAATAGCAAGAACGAGCTCGCAATTACTTGTCGTAATTCAATTCAATTGATTCTACCGACCTCTATTATATCTATAACAATAAATAGAATAACGACCTTGAAAAGTTGTTTGAATTATAACAATTAGTTGCTTAGTTTTAATAAAATTTTATCGATAAAATTTTTTTGCTTAACAGTTTATACAAATTTACTTTATTTGTAAGTTGACAACAAAATTGACATTGTTTCGAGTTATTTATGTCTCTTAAAAATTTTTTAATAATTAAAAAAAAGTGCAGATGAAAACAAGTTTGCTTGATCAACTAGTTTAAACGGTACAGAAGTAGTAGTGAAACAATATGTTTAACTTATTATTCTGTTTGTCCTTTATTAAAGCACCTTGGCTTCTTTATCTGTTTTAATGACTCACAATCAGTCGTTCTCCCTTCTTCTCGTGCGAATTGCTTACTTTGTAATCAAGCAAAAACGTTTAATCAAGTCGTCAAGCCTCTGTGTTAGCAAGCAATTATATCGGAGTGCATTCTTAAGCAACTGGAAAATTTTTCAATGGCGCAATGTACTATCACAACGTTAACACTCGCCCGCATGTCAATTTTAAAAATTTATATAAATATTAAACAAGATTTTTTAACATGCTTTGATATGGATATTCGGCGTATAAAGCCAAGAAAGATATGTTCTGGCACGAACTGCGGACGATCCGAGACTGGCCGAAGAGAAAGAAGCGCGATGAAAACCGGCTCCACTACTCTATTCGAGACCGAGCATGATCGTTCGTAATGTTTTGACTCGCTTGAACGCACGCGAGCAGTGCTACATTGGGGATACTTATTATTTAGTCACTTTTGTGAATTCAATGCAAATTAATAAATATGTCTCATTATGTAGCGTAAGCAATAGCAAACACAAGCTTGCTTATCACACTGTTTACTATATCACACTTGTGTCACATCAGTTACAATTCTCGTTTCAAGTTTGAAGTACTTTGCTATAATTTGATATATAAAAATGCAGTTTTTTTTTTCAGAAAAGAGCATTAATACATATGAAAATGAATTGATTATTAATGGAATATTTATCAAACATATTCAAATTGATAATTTTTTCGGACAACTTTATGTAAGAATATGATGATTAGATCTTTTTATTTATGTACAGAATAATAACTGATTTGACAAGGAAGTTTTGCGGATACACAGAAGAGAAATGAATTTGCTGTAAAAATACATATAGCGTAGCATCTACAGTAGATAAGATATAGTTCATCGGAAAGATTACAAATTATGAAATCATTGAGCATTTTTCACGTACTTTGATCCACTTTAATGCACAACAATTTTTTTTTTAATAGAAAACTAACTTATGTTGTAAAAATAAATTATTAATCTAAAAAAAAGTTACTTTGAAAAAGAATGATTTATTTGATCAGTTTTTATGCCGTACTAAATTGAAAGAATTTGACATAATTGATAAAAACACATTAGATAATTTTATAAAACTACTATATTAAATTTAAAATGTTATTCTGCTGCATTCGGTTGTAATTTCTTGACAATAGCAAGTTGTCTACAAAAGACACGATATAAAAATTCAATACTCCACACGACAGATGTGACAAGTATCATGGCAGTCATCACGTGAAGACAGATTTTATAGCTCCCGCTGACGTCTCTGATATATCCTTTTTTAACAAAAAATAAAGAATTAATCTATTATTTTAATACATAAGAAACATTATTATCTCGTATATTATTGTATAAAACGTACCAATTAAAGGACTCATAATGATTACACATAAGCCTTTAAACACCATAAACATTCCAAATGCACTTGGTAGCTTCTTCAAAGTACAACATTCGGATATGCAGAGATTTAAATTCACCAATGTAGCGCCACGTAAAAATCCAGCTATTACTAATGTGACAATCAATGGTGTTTTTTCTGATTGTTCCGCTAATACTGTGTAAAAAAAAAGAAATATTAAATTTCTCTACTTGCTGATAAGTTTTTGTAAAATTGCATTCTCTCTCTCTCTCGCTCTCTCTCTCTGTATTAAAACTTTTATTTTTGACAACTGTTTTGATTATAAATAAATATCACATTTCTTTTATAATAAAAAAATTACTTTGATAATATATTTAAAATATAATTTTAAATAAATATAATTAAATAAAATCTAAATAAATGCTTATTGCAGTAATGAAATTTAATAATAATAGCTCTTTTAATCTTAATGACAGAATTACTAGAGCGTGTGATTCCAACGAGGAAGCTGGAGATCCAGAAAATTATGCGTTTTTTCCATCCGAATTTGTCGAATAATGTCGGCAATAGCAATCTAGCGAGGATATCGGTGAATGCAGTCAGGGACAGACAAAAGGCTACCTCCGCTTGTTTCAGTCCTGTCATTCGTCAAGTTCCTACGAGTAGTTTATGTAACTCACGAGCAGTGCCGTAGCGAGGATGTTTGCTGAGATCGGTGTCTTTCGAGGTCCCTATAATATTACTCTAAACAGATTTGTTTATATGCAACGCGAATAACTTTCAATATTTCCATGTTTAGAACACAGGGGAGCTCTTTTAACGAGGTAATATACATCCTTTGCTACGGTACTGATTACATTTAAGTTATACATTTACAACTCTTACCAAGATCCGAGAGAAAGAAAGGAGTCATTAATTTAAAGTTTGACTCAGCCACGTAAAAAAAGCTGCAACCTAGAGCGACATTTAAGTAAATCGAATTTTTGAGAAGATCCAAGTCAAAACATATTTGTAGCTTCTTCATAAACGATTTTTTTTTAGGCGAGAGTGTTTCAATGTCTGCGATTTGATCTTTGGTCCACATTGATCCATTTGACATCCTTCGTGCTTTAGTATGAGGTTTCATTAATAAGGCTTCGTTCTCTCGTTCTTCATTAGACTTTTTTTTAAGAAGAAATATGTATGTCTTATTAGATTTTAATAATATTATCATATAAATAAATTAATACTCTTTTCTTAGTAATTTAATATAAAAATTCGGGATGTAAAAAATTTGGAACTGCTTAATAATTCAATATTTTATGGATTAAAATAATTACCTCAACTGGTGGTGCTGGCGATCGTTCTTCAAGTGGACGTAACAAACATGATCCCACTAAAGAATGTAATGCCCATCCCCCAGCGATAAGTATTGTGCCGCGAAATCCGTATATGTCCAGCAGCATATGTACTAACTGTACAAATAAATTGCTAATTTTTTCTTTTTACAAGTATTTATGTATATCACTTACCAACGGTACGAACATCATTGCCAACGCGTTCCCTGCCATGGAAAAGCCTACTGCTTGTCCACGTTTTTTGTCGAAAAACGTATTTAATGCGACGAAAGAGGAAGCCATGGCAAGGCCAGTGCCTAGACCTACCGTAAGATAAATTATAATTATAAAATGAATTTTAATTATAAAAATTTGCATCTTTTAGACGACAAAGTTATATAATTGTTAGATTCTATATATATTTATATATTTGTATACCTCCTAATACACTATAAGAGCAAATAATATATAATATACTATTAGCTTGCGATGTAATTATTAAACCACTGCAGCTTAGCAAAGATCCAAAAAATGCGACTTGTCGGTAAGAATATTTTTTTAATAATGGACCAACTAAAAAACCTGTACATTTATGATTATTTTAGTAAGGATAAATAATCTCTTTTTTAAAAATGACACAATTAATTACAATTTTTGTAAATTGAATGTTACAAAAATAATGTTTTACCTGAAAAATTGACAATTGCATCTAAGACGCTCATTATAATTGATGTCCATGTGGAATCGACATTAAGATCCTCCAACAGATCTTTAAATAGTAATCCAAATGATGGATCCAAGGATCGCAAAGAGAGCTATAATTTACGTTGTTATTAATAGAATATAACAAATAAGATTTTTCTATATACATATATATATATACATACATGTTCGTATGTATAATTATTATTATTGCAAATAACAAAAAAAGTAAAAGTGATCTTCTATAAAACTCTATATTATGTTAATACTTTTTTTAATTCTAATTTAATTCTATTTTGTTTTCACCTTGTGACTTATACTTAATGTTTCAATTTATTTATTAATAAATATACATAGAATTAAAGGACATTTACAAGTCTATAATATAATGTAATAAAAATAAAGACAAAAAATGACATAACTGTATTTATGAAATTGAGAATGTGCTTGGGAAAAATAATAATTCTTTCTATCGTTTTCCATTGTATAATACATAATATTTTTTTTTAATAATAAATTTTGTTGCATCATTTTCTTTGTACCATATGTATTTTTATTCATGTTAAACGTGATTAATAATTTAAACTTTGTACAACAGTGTAATATAATAATAACTCTGTTAACATTTACCGTAATTAGACTGCTTCCAAGACAAACAAACCAACCCCAGCCGCCATCTGGAGCTTGTCCTTTAATATCATTTTTTTTGTTTTCTGTCATTATCCACGAAAATGATTTCTCATACGGTTTACTATAAATTATTAATATTAAAAAATACTATCGAGAGATAAATTGCCAACAATCGTCTTTAAATCATATT